AACCATAGATTTATAAATATAACATAGATGTCTGGCTATTGTCTACGGGTAGAATTTAGGATCCATCTTGACGGTAAATTCATAAACATACTGTTGTTTCTTTTTTACTTATGTCTCTTTGCTTATGCAGAAAGAGACAACACATTATTGTCATTCTGGCCATAATTTTTTGACGTCATCAGAAAAACCTAGTTGTGCCGAATTGGCCATCTTAGTCCCTGTTATCAGTGCATGTCAGTGGTACATCAGCTGTCAAAGCATTGGTCAACAATATTTTGTTACGAAAATTTGTAGAATTCCTGTTGTTTTTGTGCGTGGTAAACAAAGAAATTATTGGTTAGTGAGAAGAACTATGCCCGGGTGCAGTGTTATTGGATGTAGCACTAAAAATAATATTACTAAACTGGCAGGTGTAACATTACATCGGTAAGTACTGTTATTTTTCATTAAAATTAATATCTCTGTTTTTCAAACTATTCAAGTGTGGTTGCTGCAAATTGACTAAATACAATACTTTTCTAACTAATGCAGTGCTTATTTTCATTAATTTTAGTTGAAATACGTCTAAAACAATTTTCATTAAAAAATAGTGATGTACATGATTGTTCCCGTATCGATAATTTTATCGTACATAATAAATGCGTCAAAAGTAGAACAAAGAACTATACTAAATTCTGAATGATAAAGTGCATTAATTTGACATAATGACAAAATACAAAAAACATTAAGTACTCGTCAAAAATTTCATTTTATCGACAAAATTCCACCATCGTCAATACCTACGTAATGTAATAAATATTTAATACAATAGAGAATAATTTTTTGAAGAGGTGCAAACTTAACATTTTATTTAACATTTATATTAAGTTCATAACTAACCGGGTTCTTGTACCTATATGTTTCTGTTTTCCTCCGCTATCTATCACTATCATTGTAATGTACAAACATTTTCGTTCAGAGCTTAGTACAGTACCTATAGAATATATAGAAAAATCTATGTTCAATTGGATCAAGTAAGTTAAATTATACTATTTATGTTGCAGCCTCTAGCCAGATATGTGCATGAAAATGAACTTGGAACCAGTTCTGGAGTCCTTCTCGAAAGATGGGTTTGCAGATTACATTACAGGGAAACACTACGAAAAATACGAAGATATTGTATATTATAAATCTTGGTTTTATGAATACTTTGATACAGTTTTATTTTTCAACCCTCAAAAATTACTTAACCTTAAGTACTTATATAAATATTGACCAGTTGATGGAAAATCCTTTTCATGAATTTCGATACATATCGTGAAAGTTATGATATGAATGTATTGGCACGATCGACTGGAGTGACAGTGCACGCAGCAACTACTAAATATATTTCGCTAATATTTTGGTAATGTTTAGCAGCTACATAAAAATTTAATCCAGATGAATCATAAAATAATGATATTTTATTGATAAGTCAATTAACTCGTCGAGTACCGGTTTTGTAGACACAATTATAGAACAATAGGTTGCGGTCACCGGTGACCGCTTGGTGTTTGACAGTTTAAAACCAATTCTAAAATATCGATATTTCTACAGTTTTAAAAGTTACATCCCTAGTTCTATCCGCCATTACGGGTGACCAAGTGAAGTTTATGTAGGCACGATTTTTTCCAAGTTGTTTCTTATCCATACTCTTATCATATCAGTGTTCACAACTTAGTTACTCTCTTAAATCAGGATCCGTGATTATTTTCCGTCATA